TGCCAATACCTTGCCTTTTATGGTATTGGCAGCGATGTGTCTGAACATTCCCCCCGTTGAAATGTTACTTTTCAACCCAAAATCCTAAATCGTCATCAGTGGGTAACACACATAATTTTCTAATTGAGCGTTTTAATGTGCCGTGCTGCATCTGTAGTTTAACCTGCCTGACCTTACCATCGGCAGCCTCATGTACTTCGATGATACGGCCCATCGGCCAATATGTCGGCGGCATATTTTCGTTTTTTAACAAAACAAGCTGGCCTATTTGCATGTTCTGTTGAGCTTCCTTCCATTTTGGCCTATTCATCATTTGATGAAGACAATCGTCCTGCCACTGCTTCCAGAACGATTGTGTTTGCGTTTGAAGTTCTTCGAACAGCCGCCTTGCTTTCGTTGGTGGTTTGTTCGCTGCCTCGGCCACAGGCAGTTTTAATGGACCGCCTATTAAAAAATGTGCTGGCGTGAGTGCCTCGATCTCATTCGGGTCGTCTGAGAGCGCACAAATCGGCCTTGAATTCAAGCATGCCTCGATACCGGCCAGTAGCGTTGACATGCCTTCGTATGAGTACCGTTGTGTACCCATCACCCGTCTAAGGTGATACTTCATACTTTTTACACCGGCCTCCCAGAGCCCACCTTCGTGTGGCGCACCTGGCGTTATAAAAGTCCACGTGACGTTGTTCCATTTGGCATAGCCTTGCACTTCAGAGCTCTGCCATGTTCTTATGGCTTCGCCCAACAGCCTTTCAGCTCCAACTAAATTCGTTCCGTTGTCGCTGAACGCTTTTTCTGGGTGGCCACGCCTTGCCACAAACCGTTTAAAAGCTTGCAAAAATGCCTCGGAGGATAGGTCCATTACTGGCTCCAGGTGTATGGCGCGCGTAACCATACACACAAAGACTGCTACGTATCCTTTGATATCTGGGATGCTTACCCTTGAACGTGTGTTTAAATTCAACTTGTCCGTATGTTTGACATAAAACGGCCCAGCCAGATCAATGCCAACAGCGTCAAATGGTTTGGCTGGTCGTACTCTTACCGCCGGTAATTCAGCCATAATCTGCTGTGCCATGGTCTTTTTATAGCGAACACATACTACACATCTGGAAATCGTTTCTCTTATTTCATTACGCAACTGCGGAATCCAGTATGCACGTCTCAAATGTGCGGTCATCATCTTTCTTGAGCCGTGCATCGTGTCTTTGTGCGCCTGTTGCACTAATAAATAAGACAGCCTCGATTTAGGTGGGATTATGACTGGGTGCCTTATGTCATATTCCACGAGAGCTTTATCGATTCGGCCATACACCCTCAACATGCCTTTTTCGTCTAACTGTGGATTGAGATTGGCAATCTTACTTTTCGTAAAAAACTCTGAATCGCCCTGCTTAACAAGTTCAATTTCCTTTTTATACGCCCGCATTTGCGCATATTTGATCCAAAAGGCATTTTGTATCTCGTGAACTTCTGGTCCACCTCTGATCCACTTACTTCGATCCTTCAGTCGTACGTTATGAAAGAATCGAAGCACGTAAGCGGTAATACGAACGATTTTCTTCCAATCGTTTGATCTGTGCCATAATTCACAAAACCGATCACACACATACGTCATCATGACCGCTGAAACCATAACCTGCCTTTGCTTAGTTTCACGATTTATTTGCTCTGTCTCTTCAGGTGTAATAACCATTCGTGGTTTCGGCCATTCTGCTTGCGACTCTATCAACCAGTTGGGACCTCTTTTCCACAACTTACTCGCAAGCAATTCATCAGCCTTCATGCCTCTGCTCAACAAATCGGCCGGGTTTTCTGATGTTCCGATATGAGCCCATCGAGCTTCGCCTATGGCTTCGTGAATAGCCTTCACTCTATTCGAAACGTACACTTTCAATTCAAGAGGTGATTTTTTTATCCAATGTAGCGTGACCATTGAATCCGACCACATAAATTGTTTTGCTTTATCAAAACCGCATATCTCCACTATCTGCCTCATTAACTTGCTACACATCACTGCTGCAAGTAATTCCAATCGATGAATTGGCGTTTCCGCATCCACTCGTGCTACCGTTTCTTGTTGCTGGTTTGTCGGCCTATTTTTAATCGGAACAACTTTCGATTTTCCAGTCAATAAAATGCTTCTTATTTCGCCTTTCAATGTTGTAACACGTGCGTAAATAGCTGCGCCGTACGCATTTTTACAGGCATCGCCAAAACCGTGCAATTGTAGTTCGCAATCTTTGGTTGTGCCTAACCATCTCGGAATCCGAAACGCGCCTAATTTCGGTAAATCTTGCCTAAAATCGTTCCATCGGCTTTTAATGCCATCGGGGACCGGCTCATCCCACTTTAATCTCTCAATTTTCCAAATATCTTGCATTAATATTTTGGCAACAACTAAAACTGGCGTCACGTAGCCGTTGGGATCATACAGCCTGGCGATCTCACCCAAAATAGCGCGTTTCGTATATTTCGGTTCTGTTGTTAACCGTACAACAATTGTGAGCTGGTCATTTGCCTTGATCCAGCGGACACCGAGAACTTTGGTTTCATCATTCGATTCGCCTATATCGACCACGTCCTTTTCATCGCCTTGCATAAATTTTTCAACAGTGATGCAATTCGATGCCCATTTGCTTAGTTCAAAGCCGCCTTGGCGAAGAACAAACTCCACTTCTCTACACAGCATTTTTAAGCCTGCGATCGTGTCATCGCCAAAAGTTCCATCGTCAACATAGAAACATTTTTGTATTACTCCCGCTGCCTGCGGGTAATCTTTCGCATAATGGTTTGCGCATTCTACCATTGATCTCACGGCATTGTATAGCGATGATGCTAACCCATACATCACGACTGTTATTTGGTATTCTGTTAATGGATCACTTGGCCGTTCGCGCCAAAATATCCGTTGTAGATTCCACTGCGATGGGTGCAGGCAAACCTGACGAAACATTTTAACGACATCGGCAATAACTGCGTATTTATATCGCCTAAAACGCATGATATGAAACTGTAAATCAGCTTGTAGCTTCGGGCCTATTAACTGAATTGAGTTCAGCGATTCTCCATTTGACGTTCTACATGATGCATCAAATACCGTTCGGAACTTATCAGCATTGATGGCGTGATGCGGTATATAATACGTAACATCGCCTATCGATGGTTTCGGAGCTTTTCTCATGTGGCCTAATTGTTCAAGTTCGCGCATAAAATGAACGTATTTCAATCTCAAATTGTCATCTCTCTGCAGCCTCCGTTCAAGGGCGAAAAATCTACGCATTACAATCTTTCTTGATTCGCCTAACGTTTTGCCTGGTTTCAGTGGTATTTTAACCACAAATCGACCATTTTGCTTTCGAAACATATCGGCCGTATATGAATCTTCAGCCGCCTTTTCTTCAGCCGTTAGTGTAGAACTAAGCTCTGCAATGCCTTCACTTTCGAAAAATTTCTTCAATAGTTCGTCTAATGCCTCTTCGTTTGGTCGCTCTTCTTCGGCATGTGCGATCATGGCTTGGTATGCCGCCGTACCAAAAGCCTCTGGTGGTACCCAAGTTCCGCCTAAAATCACATGGCCTAGCGCTGTTTCGTGCATAACAGCGCCAGTTGGATGCTGATATAGCATCGAGCCTATGATGTCACCCCACACATCTGCAGCCAGCAATATATCCACAGGTGCGGGGATGTCAAAGTTCATATCGGCCAATGTTAGCCTGTCGTCAATCGGCCTTAAGACGCTCAAATTAATCCACGGTTGTGTGCCTCCGAATTCGTTACTTACAAATAATTCTGTTCTTAATCTAAAATCACTTTCAAACCAGGGCAATATGAAAGCTTGGATTTTTCTTGTAAACGAGCTTATTCCACCAATTCCGTTCATGTATCTCGAACATGGCCTTAGTGGCAAGGCATTAGCCTTTGCGCTTGCCACTGTAATCAAGCCCGCCTGTGCCCCTGTGTCGAGGATCGTTCTGAATGGTGGAGAAATAAACGTTCCGAATTGCATTCTTATTGTGGCTGTACCCAATATCACATATCTCTCTAAATTACCTTTCGTGAATTTTTGTCGGCTTGTTGTCGGCGCTTGGCTGTCCTCGTCTTCTTCATCGTCATCACGATTGATCCGTTGTTCGTTCGCGATTGACCAATCGCCGGCTCGTGTCACTGCCGACTGTAAAGAAGACCTATATGAAGATGCCAATTCCGACATTCGTGCTTGTTTAGGGTGGGAAGGATGGGCATCTTCATCATCTTCTTCGATGTCCATATCCCAATAACGGACCACATCCTGTCCGCCAGCCTGATGACTGCGTTTGCCTAGTCATTGTTTTCGATTAGTTTTGGAATAAGCTCCGGTATTAGGTTTTACGTTACCTTGTTGTGAGCTGCCTGGACGTGATTCGTTTTGTTGCACACTGAGCGTCTGCGTACGTTTTTCGGCTTCAAGTGTCGGACAAAGCGTGCTGTTGTGATATTTGCCCCCTTTGCAACGTGGGCATGGTGTTGTTGCCTTAGGTGTGCCGTCTTTGTTCGTATAACAGTAAAAATCATTGTGATTCGGGCGCAAACACATGTGACATAAATTGTTTTCTCTCATGAATTGTTGTCGGCCTGCTAAATTCATTTCTTTGAGCCATCGCTCACATTTGAAAATCGGATGAGGGCCTTGGCATAATTCACATGGAGCCCGTTCTCGCTTGAAAGAACTTGCCTGGGGAACGTTGTTCGTATTTTGTGGGCGCGTCGCGCTTGAACTTCGTGAACTGGATGCTCCGGCTCCTTGTCGGTCATCAAGGTGAGCAAAATATTTGGCCTGTTGTTCAATGAACTTTTCCAATTCTTTCCATGGCGGCACATGGCTCTTAATCTTCTTCGGCGTTTGTTGGTCACCGCCGGCCGTTTCTTCACCGGCGGTTGCGGCCTCAGCTTGATTTTCTGATACCATAGCCTTTTTTGGTTTTGGTCGGATCTTTTCCCATTCGCTGCGGGTGTCGTTATCAACCAAACTTAGCACGAGAAACACGAGAATTGGATCCCATTGTGTGGTATCGAAATACTCGTCAAGCATTCCCAATGCATCGCGCATAATATCAAGAATGCGTCGTAAACCACTGCATGATGGCTTCGACATTTTCGGCATTGTGAGTAGTTTGCCTACTAACTCTTCAACAATCTTGTAATCGTCTCCGTATCGTTCTTCCAGTCTTTGCCAAATGATCTGGTATGTTTGTTCCGTGATTGCCAGTTCGCCTCTGGCCCCGGCTGCCTCACCAATCAACGCCTCGGATAAGTAATAGCATTTGCGCGATGGTGCTAGCTTCGTGTCCTCATGGATAACTTTGAAACAGTTACGGAAACTCTTCCAAGCCGTATGACCGCCTTTGCCACCTGCAAATTTTCCCCACGTATTTGGGATTTCTAAATGCGGCATTTCAACACTAATTCGTTCAGTCGCCTGTGACTGCGGGTGTTGTTGCTTTGGTGCTAAAACCTCCATGCGTGTTCGGCATATTGATCGTGTTGGGCGATACAAATCTTGTATTTTATCATATTCGTCGTATTGTTTGTCGATTTCACCGCTGTCGGTTAACGTATCGACGATTGCTTCATGTTCTTTTTTGAAGGCTTCCCAGTCTTGTTCGAGTATTAACAAGTGGTCTTCAATTTCAATGCGTGACAAATTGTTGAACGAATTTTCACATACCGTTCCATGAGCCTTGGTTATATTCCGTGCATAAATATCTCGTTTTCTCGTCGACATTTTATTTGTTGCTTCTTTCTCAACAATCAATAGATTTTGCTGCTGCGTAGTTTCAGCCGATGCCTTTTGTTTGGAATTTTCCACAGCCTTTTCTGTTGCCTTTTCGTGCTGCTGCGTAGTTTCGGCACTTTTCGATTTGTCCGTTTTTTCTTTCTGTTTCGGACGTCTGCTCGTTCTGCGTTCGGCAATTTTTTGTGGTTTATCTGACATTAATAACGGCGATAGCCTAGTTCCCAGAAATTTTCGTGCATAAAATTTCTGTGATCAGCCTGAACACACGTTTATCGCCTGCCTTTCGCGATTTTTCTCAGTAATTTCCGTTTTGAAATTATTTAGTCAAAACCACAAAATTCACTTTATCTTTCAAAAACTGATTAACGTTTGATGAACTTACAATCGGCCTATGATATAATCAATTTTTTTTTAACTAATCTGGCTCAAAATCCGATTTTTGCAAGTATTTCACAATAGCTTGTAACTTTTTTTTTTCTTGAAAATAAAAATGGCGGTCACAAATAACCCGTGCAACAAAGAGTCAACTGTATTATTTAAGAATCCGCAGCGTAATGCCGTTGCGATCGATTTGCTCGTCAATATTTGGTGACAAAATCGATGCGTCAAACCAGCAATCGATGCAATGCTTTCTTTCTCTTGCATGCATTAGCCTTAGCCTCGTCAACACATTTCGTCGACCAATGAGAGTGCTCGGTTGCGCGTCTGTTCTTGCTTTCTCAGACATTCAACCGAGCGGCACTCTCATCGCCTGTAAACGTGACTCACACTTGTTAAGTAATATTCGCATTGTTTTAGCGCCTAATTTTCAGCCAATGAGCATACTCATTTGAGCGTCACTTTGCTTGCGCCTACATACACATCCATGCATAATGTATACGTGCAACCGTTGCTTGTTGTCGCATAGCCTGTTACATGAATATTACATGCATAACGTTTGGCCCGTTCGGTGGTCAATACACTTACATGCAAATCATGAAATTTCTCACTCGCGCGCTCAAAAGTGCTGCCGTGTTACAGCATCTAGAATATTCTCTACAGCGTTCCTCTGCAAGAGTAAACGAGATAGGTAGTGTGCTGCTTCCACATCACTATTCATGTTCGTTCTCGGCATTTTCGGCCTCGGGCGACACTCTCCGTTCTGTGTGAGTGTGACTCATTACTCCTTAAGTCGAAATCGCATCATCCATTGCGCCTACCAACACATTCATCATAATGTGTATACCACGACTAGTGCCTGTTGCCACATGAATATTTCATCGCATTTGCCCGGTTCGGTGGTCAATGCATGTAAATGTGTTGAGTGGAATTTTCCACTCAGTTCGCCCAAAACAATGCCGTCATGTTACACTGTTCTGTCATGTTCTCTGCAGCGTATATCTGCGAGCGTGGGGGAGAGCGAGATAGACAGCATGCCGTTTCACACTGCTACGCGCTATTATTTTTTCTTGGAATTTTCATCCAATTCTGCCTATTCTCTTGCCTAAGAAACACAGCAATAAACATATTTCACACAAATTCACTGCACTTTCGTTAACATTTCCTTTTCTTTCTTCATAAAGGGAATTTCCCGACACAGTTTTGCCTTAAATATGTGTCGTTCTTTCTTGGAAATTCCCCCCGTTCTCCGTTCTGCCTCGGATCACGGAAGAACAGAAAAAACAATGCATAAACAAAAATTCAATAATTTTCGGCCTTTTATTGAATTTTCTGTCTATCGGCCTAACGTTCGAATCTGTCGAAGGACCAAATGTTCGGGCTAAACATGGTTACTTACCTAGAAACCCATAAAACGGCC